ATCAAATTTCTAAAGAGACTAAATCCAAAATGCGATCGACTATTTCAAAAAGCCAGGATCTTTCAAAAGGATGGATTTTTTTTACGACAATTCACACTCAGTCATAACAAGCTTCGTCCTCGGTCGATATACTCTCATCAGGTCCATAAGAACATGTTTTGACATCATCAGAAGGCTATAAATTTTATAATATGGAGCATACAATTTTCCTTAAATGATGGATTAACTTGCTGCCTGAATGAATTCATTGGTCCAAATCTTATAAAATAGCTTTAACACAATATATATATGTTATGAGATTATTAAATGATATACATTGTAGAATAAAATGGCATTAAATTTGACAAAACAAATCATGCCACTGTTTACTGTAGTGAATTTATGTTATTCATATTGAAAAGAAATGGAGACAAATTTGTGTTACAAAACTTTTCTGGGAAATTAAAACCTCTGACATTTACAAAAACAAGTAATTAAGATATGAAAAAAAAATATTTCTTTCATCTTTACCAAAATGCCAATAAAATAAATATATCACGCATGCAAGCTTTAAAAAAAATGTGAAAAGCTTTAAAAGTATATATACATACCTGCATGTGGAGAAATCACAGGCACTTGTTTCCATAATAAATTTTTGACCTATAGTATAATAATAACACAAGGTATCTAACTCCAAATTACACGGATTACCCCCTCCCTTAGAATCGCGTTCATTTTCGCTTTCAGAGGAAATGCACGGATAAACTGTTTATACCTATGTCTTTAACGATAATTTATCTACACAACCATATCTAGCATGCTTGCCTTTATTTTCTTTTATCTCCGTAATCAGCGTCAAAACTCTGCTCGCCGGATTGAAAGTCAAACTCAACCATAGAATGGTATATTCTAGTCTCGGGCAAAGAGCAAATTAAAAAAAATCAGTGGTTTTAAAAATTCAATTCCATTGTTTAGATATTGTAGTGAGTAAATAGAACTTGTTTACGTCTGATTTTCCCTGATAACATTACGATGTTTATCTGATGTAATTTTAGAAGCAGATTTTTAGCCAATCAAAATTCTCGTGTGGGATCAGCATATATCGTTCTATGGTTGAGTCGACTTTTCTACTCGCCGAACAGAGTTTCGACGCTGTTTACGGGGATAAACGAAAACAAAAGATATGCGTGCTGTGTATGGTTGTGTAGATAATTTATTGTAGAAGACAATGGTACTAAACAGTTTGATAGTGCATTTCGTCTGAAAGTGTAAATGAATTCATTTCTGAGGGAGGGGGTACTTAGTGTAATTTGGAGTTAGATACCTAGGCCTTGTGTTATTATTATACTATAGGTCAAAAATTTATTATAGAAACAAGTGCCTGTGGGAGAAATTAATGCATTTTGTATTTATTCATTCTGTAAGTCTGGAACTCTTAGCAGCTACAATAATAAAAGTATAATATAATTTTAAAAAAATATATTATGAATAAATTACAGAATTAAATTGACTTGACATGTAATCAAACTAAAAAAAAAATATTCCCCATTAATTCATAAATCCTAGAAATTAACAATCATAGATCTAAAGTGGTGGTTTTATGTTTTCAACATAATGATGCAGATATTTTTTTTAAAGAAAATGTAGCATGTTTGTGTGCCAAAAGACAACAACATTACATGTTTAGTAAATCATTGTCAAATCATTGACTGAAACAATGAAAATATCAAATTTAATTTAGTTCAAATTTGTATTACTAATGAGTCCCATTACTTCACATTTTGCCTCAAAGAGGCTAATTAACAAGAAATCTGTATATATTAAGTACAATTACATTTTAAAAATTCTATTTAAAAAGTGCGCAACTATGCATGGGGATGGTTGGAAGGGGGATACACATGATACATTGCATTACACTTTCACTGGCTGTAAAAATATATCAAAATGAACATGTGCACACTCGATTTTCTTATCTGAAGCATGTCTATATAATCATGGATCTAGGGAGCTGGTGCAGATCGTCTCAGTTTTCAATTATCTTCCGAGATAATGTCCTCATATTCTCGGAAAAGAGAAAAACAATGTCCTGTCTCTTATCTTATCCTAAATTTCTTTAAAGATTGCCTGGTTATTGCATTTAAATCCACTGCATATCTCAGCTGGTGTCGCCACGTTGTTAGATAAACCAGTAAACAACATTCCGTGTCATCGAGTGCAAGCGCTTCGGTGAAGCCGAACGCAGCCAAACGGCACATTAAAAAGAAAATTATTTTTAAAGTTAAACATGTTTTTATATATAAGAGAAAATCACTAATAATTATTTATTTAAATATGAAAATATTGCCGTCTATTACAGATTCTTGCAAATTTCGGTAAAAAGTTATTATTAGCTCTTTTTCGTTACATGAAACAATTTGAGCTACTGTCATGACGTCAAACCTCATTACAATGGGTAGCCTTAACTGTACTGCGCTTCGGATGGGACCTTAAAAACCGATCTGCGAGGCCCTGTCTCAGCAGCAGGCGTTGGCACAATAAAGATCCATCACTGATCAATGACACTGAGTGCCGAGTAAAGGTCCAAATTTGAAGCCCTTCACTTGCAAACGATGACGTCTCCATATGAGTGAAAGGAAGGATATGGAGATAACGAACAGTATTCAATCTCAACGTGCATTAAACAATATACAAAATAAGAGCAGAGCAAACACGGACCTCTGAGACATCAGAGGTGGGATCAGGTGCCATGGAGGAGTGAGCATCCCCTGCCGACCGGTCACACCCGCCGTGTGCTCGTTGTCATGATCAGGAAATAACGGAAAAATCCGTCGTCAATTCAGTGTATAAATAATGGACTAACAATTGGTATGAAAAACGTCAGTCAGCATATGACAATGATAAATTGTATTTGCTGACAAGGTCATTGTATCGACCATAGAATTTACGAAATGATGACTTTAAACGAGACTGTTGATATTCTTGTTTCATCAACTTGCTTGTCAATAATTTACCTCGTTTAAGAGATTGTTCATACGTAGAGCATGCTCTTGCATATCGAATCAACTGAGATATATATACTCCGTATGCAGGTGATGAAGGTATATTGCTGCATAAGTAAGGGAAATTGACGATAGAAAACTTAAAGTCATCACGTTTATCATACAGCTTGGTTGTTAGATTACCATTAGTGTCTTTTTCAAGTAAAATATCCAAGTATGAAGCAGAAGTGTCGGACTCTGTGGTATCTTTTATCTCAAGCTCACCAGGATATATCGTATCGACGTAGGAATGGAAATTATCATTATTAATTGACAATACGTCATCGATATATCTAAATGTCGAGTTGAAGGCCACAGCAAGTTTTTTCTTCTTTTCACGCATAAGATTTTGTATAAATTCTGCTTCATATGAATATAAAAATAAGTCTAAGTGCTAATAACGGAGCGCAATTTGTACCCATGAGAATTCCAATAGATTGTTGGAATACCTGGTCTCCAAAAACCACATAGATATTGTCAATCAGAAATTCGAGCATCTTCTTGATGTCAACTTCAGAGTACTAATGTGTGCAATCAGAATCTGTTTTAACAAAATAATTTTGCAAATGTCTAATAACGAGATAAGTAAATTTACGAGTTCCATTTTTATTGAGGAAACAGCTGTCAGTGATATCAAAAAGCCTGGATTTTAATTTGTCGTGGGGAATCGTTGTGTATAAAGTTGAAAAGTCGTAAGTTTTTAAGCTGTTGATTTCTGTGAAGTCTTGTGATTTCATATTGTCCAAAAGTTCTTTAGAATTTTTAAGTATCCATATCTGATTTACACCACTTCTTGAGTATATAATTGCACAGTACTCTTGAAGTTTTTCCTTCACTACTGTCAATATTTTAGTGAGAAGTAACGAAAGAGGCTTGGTTGAACATTTACTGGAACCTGCAATGTATCTTTGTTTGTAAGGATTCTTATGAAGTTTCGGAATCCAATATATATAAGGTAGTTCAAATTCATTTTGGCTCTGTGGAATATTAAAAGTATTCAAAACTGACAGGTGATTTTGAAGAATTTCTTCCTTAGAAAGAGAAGTATGAGTATAAGTAGGATTACCACTTGTAGAATTAAATCCAAGTTCTTCTAGAATGCAATTTATATAATGAGCCTTCCAAACGAAGACAATGTTGTTACCTGCTTTGTCGACAGGAACCAGTACGTACTGATCGTGTAATCTATCCAATTCTTTTTTCACTTCTGGTTTATTGAACACAGAAGGATAGATGGTTTTCATTTTGCCCCTCAATCTTTTGATACGTGACTTTAACATGGATCTGATACATTTAATCCATTCTGACAAGGTGTTAATGTCTTCTTTTTCAAATTTGGCCCATCGTCTGGCGTAATTTTCAACAGAATCCATAATATTTATGAAATTCCGACTCCAGTTGAAAGATCGGGGTTCCCTATATTTAGGACCTTTTAAAATAAGTGATCTAAGGTCCTCATTACGAACTATATTAACGTCACCTGTAATAACGTGTCCAGCAGGACTATAGTTATAGGGCGAAGAAGAACATGAACACGAAGGGGGATTATTTTTCAGATGGTCGATATCCAGGCCATGTAAAGTGTTTTTGTGATTGAAAAGTTTGGAAGCAATGGTCGATGTATACTTGTAGGATATACATGGTGTAGACTTTAACTTGAAATATGGTGGAATACAAGACTGGACCCTTTTGTGATTAAGAATATTACTTAAAAATTCTCGAGATGGACGTCAAACAATATACAGTAAATCCATCAATCAGAAGATAAGATTTAAATCTTCTAAAATTCTAAACTTAAGGATCATTTTAAGCTCATCAGACTGAATTTACACACAATTATATTTTAAGAAACAGAGTCAAGATGTTTTAGGTAACATTATAAGGACGCTTAAAAAGTTGTCCACCATGCATTGGATCATTGCATACTTAGAAGTGTAATATGATCATGTTGCAATTAAACATGTATTTTTACATTTTTTTCAGTTATACATTCGGAAGAGTCCAAAACAATTCAGAAGAGCTCTGGATGTTTGAGCGCTATACGGTGATAATGGAATACAAACAACGAAAACCCTCTTTGATAAATATCATTTATTGTTTACGCTACATCATCTGTCTTCTGTTTCGAAAGGGAATCAATAGAGTGACAAATAACAGTGAGTTAATTTTTTGTCATATAGATATTTTTTTCTACTGTGAATTCTATTCAAATATAAATAGGAAGATCTGAATACTTTGTCAAAATGGACCGAATGTCTTTGGATAATGTTTAAGAATCGTTTCAAAAATTGTGAAGGACATATTGCCAAGATTTTCTCTTTTTGTTTTTATTTGATTGGAGAAAAAAAATAAAAAAAAGAATCATAGACAATATTGTACAATAAAAAAGATAGTAGTAACAAAGCCTTATTAAGATGTATAGCCATAACATATATTCTTATGTCAATACGATATAGCCTTGTGAGCTTGATAAAAGATACCACGGAGTCTGACAAATGTGTTTCATGTTTTGATATTTTACTTGAAAAAGATGCTAATTGCAATCTTACAACGAAGCTTTATGATAAACGTGATGGCTTTAACTCTTCAATCGTCAACTTCCCTTACTTATACAGCAATATACCTTCAGAACCTGTAAACGCAGTTAATTTATCTCAGTTGATTCAATGCGCAAGAGCATGCTCTAAGTATGAACAATGTCTAAAACAAGGTGGATTATTGAAAAACAAGTTGACGAAACAAGAACATCAGCAGTCTCATTTAAAGTAATCGTTTCTTAAATTCCATGGTCGATATATTGACCTTGTCAAGAAATACGCATTATCATCGAGTCAATTTTTGATTTCGATTTTCATACTAATTATTAGTTAGTCCATTATTTACCCTGAATGACGACTGATTATTCCGTCATTTCTCATTAATGACAAGGAGCACACGGCGGGTGTGACCGGTGGAAAAAGAAGACGACGAGGAGATCAAAAGTTTTACTTTCTTTTCTCAAGTACTTCAGCAATTATTTTTTTAAAAGTTAGAAATTGTGCCAGAAAGAGAAAAAGGTTAGTTTTATCCCCGAAATCTTCCCATTCTCAATCTCTTGGTTCCCTAAATGATTATATATGCTTTAAAACTTTTCCTTTGAGACATGATTTGGGACAAATGAATCATCTGTGTTTCAACTGGGGTTCTTTAATGGGGAAAGAAGAAAAGAATTCTGATACTCTCGGACAGTCAGCAGAATTTTCTACATGTTATTTAGAACGAAGAACTCTATTGCCAACTATCCGTGAACCATCTTTATTATTGCAACATTTATTGACAAGAGTAAATAAAGATGTTCTGTTTTCAAATCACAAAACTATTTTACAAACAAAAGATCTTCAGTATTTTCACCTTTGCTACCCTTAAAACATCTTACAAGTGTATACCACTTCAGTGTACGTCCCGATAAAAATTGTGTTACCATTGGGGAATAAATGTCTCACAAACGCATCTTGTTGAATTCCTTTATTGCATAGCATTCAATTATTATAAATAATTCATGAACTTGATCACACATAATTGTTATGTATATTGCTAAAAAAATTTGATTTAACATTTAGCCCCAGTATCCTCAGCATCACTAAATATTGATCACGTTCTTGCATATGTTTTCAAATGGCAAAATATCACATAATTGCATTAATATTCATTTATATATTTTAAATTTTAATTCTATTTTATCCATTTCGATCGATTTTTAATTTTACGTATTGTTTTCTTTGAAATTTCGTTTATGATGTGTAAAACGCATCCTAAAGTAGAAACTTCAGATTTACTGTGCTTGGCATAATCTAAAGTAGTGTTACATGCATTCGGATATGGATGATCAAAACGCCAAACATTCCTTGCCAAAATTATATTTTTTATATCTTCCAAAAAATATTTACCATAAAACCCGTAAAAATGATATAGGAAGTGAGCTAGCGAGCTGGGAAAAATTAATATAATGGGATTTTGTTTTATAGGTGATGATATGATGAAAAAAATCGAAGATGAAAAAAATGAGAGAAAGTACAACTTGATGAAATTTCAAACAGTCATGGCGACAAGGGTTGCCTACAGTCAGGATTTGTGAAAAAAAAGAGTTTTGAAATCAAATTGCATACTAACAGAAGTTATATGCTCTGAATATTGCGCACAAATTTAATATTTTTATGATTTTTATGATTGTGTGATAGTCTTTGTTTTTCTTGTTTTTGTTTGATATTAACAAAGTAATACTTTTTTATTTTCTAAAAATAATTTGAATGGCCTGATTTGTTGTATACATGCCCTCTAGCTTTTAATTCACCTGAGCTGAAAACACAAGAAAGCATTTATGATCACATTTGTCCGTCGTCTGTCCGTCTGTAAACTTTTCACATTTTCAATGTCTTTCTTCTTCAGAATCAAGTGGCCAAATTCATCTAAACTTTCTATAAGGTATTTATAAAAAGAGTGGATTCAAATATGTTCAAATGAAGGTTCATGTCCTCTTTCAAGGGGAGATAATAAAGAAATAGTAATGGTTAAAAAATCTTCTACTCAAAAACCACCTGGCCAGAAATCATGAAACTAATTTTTCAGCATCCTTTGATAGTGTAGATTTTATTTATTTAAATCATGACCCCTTGATATAGGGTCGGGCAAAAGTGGTCGATCAAAGTCTTACATTGGAATATTTAGGAACATCTTTAACATTTTAAAATTTTCTCCTTGTAAACCAAGAGCCGTGATTGCTCATATAAATATAGAAGCATCCTCAGGTAGTGTAGATTCAAGTTTGTTCAAATCATGACCCCCGCGTTTAGGGTGGAGCCACGATGAACGATCAGATTTGTACATAGGAATATAAAGGAAAAATCTTTAAAAATCCTCTACTCAAGTTTGGTTATATTTACTATCAATTTTGTTCAGTGTTTAGTTTTGCATTACCTCACGATCAACCAGCGTAAATAATTCACGTGATTTATAAACCCATATTATCAACATTGACACAGAAATAGTCTGCTGTACGAGCAACCAATTAGCGATTAGAAGAAAGTTGCAGTCGTAAAGCTTGCGGGTAGTTTTTTGCGGTGTCCTTTTTACCTTGAGCGCAGCTGTCAAACTAGATCGTGAAGTAACCTAAAACTTCACACTTAACTGCAATCCTTAGTATATGGAAATATTCTTTGGTAGTGTCGATTCAAATTTGTTCAACCATAATTCCCAAGGGAAAGTTTGAGCCAAAATTCACGATCAAAGTTTCAGAGTAATATCTAAGAAAAAATCTTTTAAAAATCTTTTGCCCAAAAAAAACACAGCCATCTTATCAGTCTAATTTATGAAGAAGCATCCTCAGGAAGTGCAGGGTTCGAAATTAGATCATGTCTGTAAGTCTGAGACTTATTAAATTTTTGACTGACTAGTCTAATTCATGCAGCACTAGTCCGTACATACTACTGAAAATCCCAACTAAAAAATTATCTTAGTATTTTCATTGTCAATGTTTCAAATGATTGCCAGTTTAAACAAAAATGTCTGCAGTTTTATCATTAAAACAATGTAAGCAATAACCGGAAAGTTGAATTTGCGAGTATAAGCAGGGGCGATTTTGACAACAAAATATTAAAAAGACAGATTTTTACGAAAGGGTGGCCGTCCGGAAGAGATAGTTTTGTTCAAAGATACATAATGAGTCAAAATCATGTGTTTCTTTTAAAGTATCTGATCCATAAAAGTATCCTTAAATATCCATCCTATATTAAATACTACGAAACTCACTTAAAACAATTTAGTGTAGAAAAGGATTAACCAAGAGAAATTTTCGAAAATAAAACTACTCGTTCAGTAATTAATCAATTAAGAATGCACTGAGGTCTAAGGGGACAGGCAAATGGTTATTTTAAAAAAAACTAAATACTACGAATATCAACAAATTCTATGGAAGAAAAATGTATATAATTATCAAGAACAAAAAAAAAACAATTTAAAAATTATTTTTCACCACATAGATTTAAAAATAAAATGAAATTTATTGATTACAAGCAAAGGAGGATAACTTATTAAGGACGGTTCATGGTTAAAAAATCAGCACACATTCCACTCTTATATATCGAGAATAAAACATGAAGATTATGTCTCCGTATACTGAGTGTTCGGCCAATATGTATCTGTTATGTATTCAGATTCATTGAATCTGAGCCTATTATGGATCGAATACCTTAGGATATCTGTATCATACAGAGAAAGGTTTATAAAAATTATTAGTATAGCGAAAATACGAAAACTTAACCTGCACTGTAAAGCAAGAAAATACTGCACGATAAAAGTGCCGGAAAAACGAAGGTTGTGCTTGACGTTCCGTTGTTTTTGTGTATGGAAGGTCTCGCCCCTTTTATATTTAGTTCAAACTAGTAAACAACATACAACAACTGAAGCATGTAAATGTAATAAATATGTTCTAGCAACTTTTTAAAATAATGTATCAGAATTCTTGGTATACCTACAGCCATTCTTAGTTACTTGAGACTATTATAACCATATTAGTCTAGTAAACTTTTCTGCCCACGCGCACAATAGGGCAGAAGAAGAAAAACTATAATTTCGTTTTGAGGCATACTGAAATAATTGTTAGTTATATTTTTCTCTAAAAAAAATAGATTTTTTAAGTTTTGAAACCTGTCTTTTTCTGAAAACCTTATACTTTCAGGTATTTACATCTTCTGTAAGTCTGATTAATTAACGTAACTGTTGCTTGTAATGATTCCCATATTTTGAAGCAAAATGCATTACAATTCGTCGAGCCGTTTTTCTTCCACTTTGACAATCCCTTTGTTCAATTCAACAGAGTAAAACAGCAATGTTTATGATCACAAATACTAATGCTGTCTTTTAATTTTCAATTAAAGACTAGAAAATGACGATAATTGGAAGCATCCTAAGGCATGTAAATGTAGATCATGACCTCGGGGGTAGGATCGGGCAAAAATGGAAATTCAAATGTATATGGTAAAAATGACAGTAAGTCGTAGAAAATCTGTAAGCATTCCTAGTGTAGAT